AGGATTTATTTATGTCAGAGAAGACAAGGTTAACAAAATGCACCATGCCTACACAGGAAGACAGAGAGACTGGCACTGAACCCCAGGACCAATGTACTCCACTCCACAGAGACGGGAGCCCTAGAGAGTGCACACCTTCCTGCAAAGCATGGCTTAGTTCTGTGGTGACACTGTGGCACCACCAAAATCTGTCTCAAAATCAAACAACTTGTCTGAACCTTAAAAATCCTGATCTAAATAGGAAAGACACTTTCTGTCCATTTCAAGGCAAAAAGATGTATAGGAATTAGTACAGGCATCATCTCCAGGGGTTTACCTCTGAATTCAAAGTTAGAAATATGGAAAGAAAAAAATACTCTATTTTTTTTTTTGAGAAAGTTGCTCATATGTTGGGGTATAATAAAAATTGGTGAACTTACAGTGTATTTTCTCTTACCAGTGGAACATTAAACAAGCAGTACTTCAGAATGCAAGCTTATATTCAGCCTCTTAGTTAGGTTATCTAAAACTGAGGTTTAGCAGAGTACTGTCTTCTAGTCAAACCTGAACTAAAGTACTATAAACACATTTAAACCAGTCCTTCAAACAAGGTAGGCCAACCCGTCTTGTGAATCTCTGTCTTCCTCCCACTCACAGCACATTTGTAAATGGGCTGTTGATAAAAGCCACAAAATACAAACTCAGTCTGTCGAGCTTAATACAAAACTCCATGGGTTAACACCAAGTATGTTTGTTAGCTGTTTCTTCCCTTCAATGCTTGGTATCTAAATAATTTAGAAATACTTCTGCTTAGTAAATAACAATTTCAGTGCCAAACGTTAGTACAAGGTATTGGAGCAGCTGTAACTGTGCTAAGAGTCCACATGGATAGAATGAATATCCTTTCTTACTACAGAGCAAATAACCTATATTATGTGTTACTGCAGAAACACATGCTACCACAAAAAGGGAAAAAAAACAGACAACAAAATTTGTTATCACTAAAGTCTCATATTAATTCCTGCCAACTGTAGTCATAAGTACTACAGAAGAGCTGATGCTGTGGTACTGTAGAGCAGCTAACATTTCACACAGTGTAAGAATGCCTTCTAGGAAGAAAACATTAGCAATTATTGGTATCTTGCAAAATAGCAGATGTCCAAATTTAATCAACCCTGTCACCTCTGCATCCACATGGACTGAAATGGGTGTGTGTACATAGAAGAATTTGCCACAAGAGGTGATACAGTCAATAGTATCTCAGCATTCTTTAGATAGACTTACAGAAAGCACAAGTTTAATGAAGGTTTGTCTGGCTGTGTTTCAACTCACTACACAGCTTAGTCTACCAGGGTCCTATTTATAACCAGGCTCCACCAGAACTGAATTAATAAGCTGTTTAACCACACACCAACAGGGTCTAACAATGTTTAGTTCTGAGGAATATTTATTACTCTGTCAACTATGTGATAAAAATCATTAACAGGATTTGCCCTGTTGACCATAAAATATTTCTAATCGTTTTCCCCTTTGTGAAAACACACACAAATTTGAATCCTGTGCTATGTGAATGCTGTAGTTACGGAAAAGTCATGGTTAAAAATACAAGAAATTGCAATGAAAAAATAAGCAATGAAAATTGAGCAATTTTTATGTAAAATTGTAAAATTTTTATGAAGCTCTTCTTGCTAAGCACCAGAGCTTACTTTTGTTATTCTAATAAAACAAGAATTCAAAAAACTACCCAAACAACAACAACAAGACCAACCAAATAAACAACTCTCCCCAACAACAAAACCCAAACAAAATTTTAAAATAACAAACAAACAAAACAAAAACAACCCACCCACATCCTTAGGTTACTACTCTTAAAGAATATATGCGCTTTGTTAGAGTTTGGGTTTTTTCAGTTAGGCAATGTGCACAAGAAACTTTGAAAACAATCCAAAACAGAGCCTCAGAAGAAGAGAGGCAAAGTATTTTTTTTCAAATCCAGAAGCAATCTTGTTGAAAGAACTGTACCAACCACCATAAAACTGGGACTCTCCCATCCCTGCGCTTTTCATACATCCAAGTCAGTAATTTCGAAGAGCTCAGATCTTCCCCTTTAGGCTGGCATCACAGCTACTTCTACATGAGAATGTTGGTCAATCACATACAAAATAATATAGAAACTCAAGGTACACATGGACTCTTCAGACCAACTACCCTTCAGGACATATTTATGAAGTAATTAAAATGAAATGATCATAGCTTTAAAATGCTGGTTCTACAAAAAGTCCAGAGCATGCACCCCAGAAGACTGAGGTTTTACATTTTCCTACTATTAAGCAGAGCAAACATGAGTTTGATCTATACTTATGCCCCCACATGAAGACAGAAATGTTTCAAGCATTTAACTCCATGACAAAATTTGAAGAACGAAATGAAAATGATTATGTATTCAAATGTATTAAAACTGAACACTATATTTATTTTATTGTCTTTACACTTTATTACATTTTCCAAAAATCCATTTCAATTAACATCAGCACTTGCAATGAGCATGCTGCCAGGAACGTCAAGACTTGTATCCAATTATCTGTGCATGCCATCATTATGGCTTTCATGTACTTCAAAAAGAAGACTAAAAGCATGATCGAAGAGGTTGTTAATGTTTTACATGAAGGTTCTTTTCTTTTAGTTCATCTGGCTGAACAAAAGCTCATTTTGTTGATCCATCAGTTTTCTGATTAGTCTGATGAATGAAGCATTGACTTATGTGGGCATACTTCTGTATGGTATAACATAACTGCATTCATTTCACAATCAATCAAAGACAATGACATATTTAGGATGATATAATTTAGTTTTGCTTATCAGTTTTTTTAGCAAGAGCAAATCTCAAGCTCCTGAAAATGAAATACTGCAACATAAAATGATAGAAATGTCTTGTTTTGATTTAGTTTAACTTGACTGCCTAAACACACTTCAAATTATTTATTTCCAGATGGTACTAAAGGCTATAAATTATTTCTTCTTTTCACTTGCAGTGTAAATAAAGTGAAGGTCAAAACTAGTTTTAGCTTCATTATCTCTTGAAGTAGTAAGGTGGTTTTTTCAAATCTTATACCAAAAATAGCTTTTTCTTTCCCCAGATATTATGTGGCACTGATCAACATCATATAGTTACTTTTACCTTTTAATTAATTTACCTAGTATTAAAAACTACCACCACTATAAAATAAAGAACACATTATGAAAGAAATCTTATACCCTGACAAAACCCCCTAAGGTTACTAAGCTTATAATATTTTAATACTTTCACTGTTTTGATGAAACAAAAATAAGCACAAAGCCATTTTAAAATATGTAAGAAAGACTACTAGAGAAATAATTATATGGTATGAAATGACATTAATCCATTACTCTTACACACATGCCCATAACTAAGTAATTGTCTTAGAACTTGTCTCTACTGACTTGCAATATTAAGATCTAGAAATAAAAAATGCATGACCATTCTGTTACTCTAACATGTTCAGATTTAAATGAGAGTTTTCCCCAACAATACAGTTTTGAAAGAACAATCTTCACACTGCATACAAGCTGAACAAAATATCCAAAAGAGAAACAGCACTGCCCTCTTGCAACTGAGGAACACTTCTGTTGCAGACATTCAGCTGGAAGTATCAAATAAAGCTTTCTCCAACCCTCTCAAATAAAATTTTAAAAAAGATATTTTAATACAAGACCACGGTAAAGTTTTGCAACTGTTTATTCTGCAGTTAGAATATTTCTGTTAGAGAAAAGCAAAGGTTCCATAAATCTCAGCAAATTTCTTATGATGTTTTATGTGACACCAAAACCTCACAAAATCTGTGAGGTTCAGGTGTCACATACTTAAGCCTGCACAGATCCACAAGAAAAATTCAACTGAATGCACTCTGTGAGAGTCCAATACACAGTGCAGTAAAAAAACAGCAGGAGGCCAACTCTGCTTGTATGGGACCCTGGATATTTCCAAGAGCTGAAGGGTTCTAGCTGCCTGATTTCTCCTACTGCAATTACAGTAGTCAAGTCTGATAAACTTCATTGCTCCTGCTCTCTTCAGCTTACAGAGTGCTTGGAATCCTGCTTATCCTCACATTAAAAAACAGAGTCCAATTCTGCAAAGAGCTACAGCGACACTTTTAAGAAGTATACAGATACATGGCACTCTTGGATCTCCTGGATTTCAGGACTGCCAACAGAGTAAAAATTTTAACTCTAAACCTTTAAAATTTGTGTGAACTTGATGGGCTTTTGTTGGAGTGGCATTTTCTGGTTGACTGTTTCTTTAATTGTCCCCAAATTCACTGACTTCCAGATGAAGAACATGGTGTTTGGCTCCCTTGACAGTCAAAGCCACATCACAGTTAAACTGTACACAAAGCTTTGTGAAGGAGAGACTACCACATTTCAGCTGCTGTCAGCTCAGTTATATACTCTCCAAATGAAGGAAGAAGATGGGTATTTGGAATTTATTTTTAAACTTTCTCGCAACTAAATGCAACTGCAAAATTCCACATCCATGTAAGAGAAAAAGAAGCTTCTGAACACACTCAGAATTAACTTTCATCACCTACAAGTGCTGTTACTTTACACACACAGTCAGCAGTGGAATAATGCAAAGTCTAGGTTAGGTAGCTGTTGCTCAGCCAGGAGTCAAAACAGCAGCATACAGGTTTATTTCAGAGTACTCAGACTCATGTCCCTGTAATTATTAGTACTGAAGAGTTTGAGTTGTTTTTTCCCTTCAGCAACTCCTCTACTAAATGAAGTGAATTTTTGCAATTGAGACACGTGTCTTTCAGTTACAGCATAATGCAGTTTAGGCAATTAATTATTTCCCACTGTGTGCTTTGCAATTACAATTCCTCACCGATACCGTAACTCAACAGGGTAATAAAAAATAATCAGTATTTATCTAGTGCCTGTGGATTAAAACCTTTCTAACACTCCTGAAACAAAACAAACAAAACAGAAGTTATGAAACATACCCAGACAAGGAGCAACAGATTTCTTTTCACTGTTCCACAGTATCCCAGCATTCCAACTATGATGAGGAAACAGCAGACTGCAATCATAACTGGGTGGACCACAGGAAAGTAAGTCAAAATGACAGCCTCCTCCACCCTAAAAACCAATCAGAACAATAATCAAAACAAGCACAATCACAAAAAAATATATAAAAGAAAAAAATACAGCCATTAAGAATAAAATGGTGATTAGCAGATGCATTCTTTCCAGCACCTTACACATTTCACAAAATCCTCTTCAACATGGTTTTAAAGCCAAAAGCTGCATTTGAGTACCAAAAACTGCATTGTCCAAAACCTCTCTGGAGCAAAGGTAATCTTCCTGCCCTGCACTTGCACAGTATGCAGCACAATGAGGCCCTGTTTCATCACCAGGGCTCATAAGCACTGCTGTAATAAAATTAATAGAAATTCTAAATCCCTGGACTGAATAAAGTATTCAAAACTAAATAGTAATATAATCTGATTACATGTTGTCAACAGACCAAAAATTGATCCCTGTCAGAAGAGAAAGGCACATGATTGATACCCTACTCTTCCCCTTTTTCTAACTTCAACTGGTGCCCGAAACCGGGGCAAAAAATGCACCTTCCTGTACATCAATGTTCAGCTTAACTGAAAGATTCTCAATTCTACAAGTCCTAATTAAGAAGCTTACCACACAGAATGAACAACATCTACCCTTATCAGTAACTCACACAGATTAGAAGTTTAACTAAAGCTTTACCTTGTTTCTGCAGTTAAAGTGAGAACATTATTCAGGTAGTCTCTCAGCCAAGCAGAAACCCCTAATATGCTGATGGACATCAACTAAAAAGAAAACATTAAGTTATTTATCACATGTTTAATGCAAATTACATGATCATTCATAATTTAAGTAGAGGATCAATCATCACTAACATCTTTCATGCATTCATTTATTTGAACAACATACTGTCCCCAAAACTGTACTTCTACATGCTTAGAATTGGTTTGTTGCCCAAGTATTAGGGTGCCAGTGACAATAATCTTTTCCATGTAGTGATGCTACTGCTGGCTCCTCTCCCAGCACTGCACAACAAACCATAGAAACAACAGGGAGTGCTTACACTGCTAAAAGCAGCGACTCCTCAGGGCTTACAAGTGACACACATCAGTCTGCAGGAAACCATGAAGCCATGCCCAGGTACACAGCTAGTGAAGAAAAAGCTGATACAGCAGTCTTGATACACTGACACTCAAGAGAGGAGATTTATATTGGGTTAAATTTAGAAGAATCTGATTCTCTTGCTCATTCTGACACAGTCACACCATGAATACTACATCTCAGTTTCTTGAACTATAAAATGAAAATAAAACTAACTGCATTTCAATTATTAACCATATAAAGCATTTGGGTATCTAACATGTCAGACACTTCAAAGGCATAAAGCCACTACACTTTCACTAGGACTGCTCCCACAGCAAGAAAATCCCCAAAACTGGGCAAGAATTCCCCACCTAGAATTGTCAACACCTCAGCAGACATGGATTTCTGTCACCTGATGCCACTGTACACTTCAGCACATCAGGAGAAGCTCTGCCCTCTGATTTGCTTGAGAAGCCAAACCCAAACAACACATTCACGGCCTGCCACACTGTGACAGCACTGGCCCTGCCGCTGCTGCAGCAGAGGTACTGCTAGAGGACAAGGCACTCCTCCCTCACTTGTCACAGGGGTACCTGGGCCTGAGCCACAGAAGAGGCAGGACCTCAGAAGCACCACTGTCTTGCTGAGGGAGGGAATCCTAAGCATGCTGACTTCCCTGAATACTCCTGTTTTCATGAACTGCATAGGAGTATGACAGGACACATCAGCATTAAACTTACAGTTTCTTAAACCAGTAAAAAGTACTAATCTCCCCTGTGGTCCTCAACATCTAGCTTCTCACATGCCCTCATATTTCCCTGAAGGTGGTTTGAAGAACAAGTTAAGTGGTTCAAACCTAATAGGAAAAGTCACTCTGTGTCCATACTGGCTCCTAGCCTGCAGCATGCCCACAGCAAACTACTTTTGCCTTTAAGATTTCACAGCAGTCCCAGCAGCTATCCCAAAGCTTCTTCCTCCTTTTCAGATCGGATGCACAAAGTACAGGCACTGCCCTGGCTGTGAGCGCTGCCTGCAGGAGCTGGTGCTTGGCATGCTGCAAGCATACTCCTGGAAGCTAGTGCACGCTACATGGCTACTATATTCACTCCTGTGGGATCTGTTTTGGCTGGTGAAACAGTAACAGTAAAGAACATTTTCTATTGTCTTATTTGCAGGAAGCTGCAGGAACAAGGAAAACAAGATTACTGGAATCTCCTCCTAAATAAACTCCTCCCACCCACTGCCTAAGAAAGCATCAGGCAGTCATACCACACGAGCAGTCAGAAACACTACAGAGGTAAAGCAGACTACCAGCAGCCAGCCTACTTTCTTGTTGTCCAAAGGCAATACAAAACATTTTTAACCCTCCACATCTCCCTGAAAGGCCTGTTGATACACACAGAAAAGCATTATCTCACACATCCACTCTGTTTATGGTAAAATATTTAAGATATATTTAAGATGTAACCCAATTTGGTTACTTCATTTTACAACAGCAGTGTTCAGAAGTGGCAAGTCCATCAAAGCACTGCTCAGAAACTTTCATTAAGAGCCAGATGGTCCTGCTAGAAGAGCAGTACTAGAAAAATTATCACTTTCTAAATAATATTCCTCCTCACACACCAGACTGGTGGACTGCCTGCTCCTTGCTGTCCATTAGGCACTCTCAGGCTGCACCAACTTTGTTTCAGCCGTCAGCATGCGGCAACACATTGTACACAGCAGTGAGAGGGGGTGGATTTTGAGGAAGGATAAACTCTCTTTCAGCAGAGGTAAGATCTGGCAGCATACTGAAGCATGCAGGTTATTCACAGACAACAGGGAGATTACAGAGCAAGCAGGTAAAAGGCAGAGGGGACAGAAAGGATTTCCTGGACACCAAAAGTACTGAGCAGAGTTCTGTCACTAAGAGAATCATTCAGTCTGCTAGAAGGACTTGTGTGCAAAGGCAAATCAGGAAGGACAAGAATTTTCATTTCTGTTCTGTCTGCCTAAATTGAGTTTTCTCTACCTAGACATGTATTTTTGCCCACATAAAATCCAAGGAAAATCTAGGCAGATACATCACCAAGTTGAGGCTCTGTGACTTCTATAGAAATGCTCAATAATCACATCAGAAAATGTGACTCCTTTTTCATCTAAGAACAACAATTGGAAGAAAAGGACGGCTTCCTTCAACCCAGGAATAACCTTCACCAATAATATAACTACATGAACAATAACCTTCACCAATAATATAACTACATGAACACCATTTCGGTTCATAAGAACAAACTCTTCTATGAAAGGCCTCTTGCATCATTCAGAAAGATTTTAGCCATTTAGATTCTCCCTGGCTATTCTCACTTAGTATGAATAACTAGCAATTACTATTGTTTCTTGCTGATGCAAATTATATGCAAGAACATTCCACCTATAAAGCCTGTGAAAGCCAGGCTACTGCTCAACTACTCAGCTACCCTGTGCCTGGCATGTTTTCACCACCATTAACTGCTTCAGGTGTTACTGAACTTCTGCTACTCTTAAAATGCACAAGAGCTAGGTCAGCATGACTCTGAAGTGCAAGCATATTGCCTTACCTCTCTGCTAAACAGATGTTACACACAATTACCTGTGCAATGCTCTCCTGCCAATCAAATTCCTAGTGAGGCACCTTTGGGCACTGTATTTTCAAGCAAGTCCACAGTGAATTATTATTCTGAATGACCTGAAAGCCAGAGTGCTGTGACACACTTCATACCCTGGCATGAAAGTCAGTAACAGTGTCCAGCTGTGGTAGCAGAAAGGCATGGGGCAGAAAGTGAAGGCAAATACTCAAGAGGCTCCTCTTGAAAAAAAGATGCCTGTAAAAGAGCAAACTGGTAACTCAAAATAGCAATTCAGAAATACAACATGTGTATTTCCCAGCACATAAGCCAGCAAGTGCTTGGTACCTCTTCCCTAACAGAAGGAAATGATGGGGAAAAAGCTGCATCCCCTCTGATCAGCAGAAGTGAGTCTCAGGGCAGCAACATCCTGACGGATGAAAGATGCCTCCACAACACCAGACTGTCCTGCATAATGACTGGTGTTTATTTTAGTGACAAAAGATTATCAAGTACTAGCTCCCATCCGCTTGCTGACCTGTTCCATAGTCACAAAGGAATCACAGCAAGAACACAACAAACATGTCTGGCCTCCACAGCCTCCTGCTGACTCAATGTGCAGATGTGCAGCCCTGTAAAAGCACTAAACATCAAGTGCCAGATGACATCAAGAAAGCTCCAGGCATCCACCACTTCACACCACCTACAGCACACGCAGACCTTCAGCCAGCAGCACAAGAAGTCCATCAACAACAGCAGCAGTACAACTGAGTCCAGGCACTCAGCAGGCAGAAACAGTCTCCCTAAAAACCTTGGCATACATCCAAACCCAGCAGCATGTATCAGCAGGCACATCACTGCAATTCACTGCCAAGTGATTTTCAAGAAGTCATGGGCAAGAGCAAGGTCCTGATTACAGCTATTGTTGGTTCATTTGAAAGATGGTAAAACAGTGGCCCCAAAAAACTGGCAGTCCCCACTTCAGTCACTGCTTCAAAACAGATTCATATGCATAATACAGTTAAAATCTGCATCAAGCAATCAGATGAAAGAACACAACTTTATGACAAAAGTGCTAAGACAATTCTCACATTAGCAGTAACATCATTTCCCCAAAAAGTTCTCATTCAAGCTTCTCTGATGACAGTCAGTCTGCTGTGCTGTAAGTATGACATGACAGTATGCATAAAATGTTTATTTGTTGCAGCTGGCTGGAAAAGTCACTATGAGTTTTAATTCTGAACTGTCACAGTATGTTGTATAGCCATCAACATGACACTGAAGAGTTCACAATTATGCCTACTGGAATGCTCTGTTTTAAATATATTTTCACACTGATTGAACTTAGGTAATAAATTCTATTTTTGTATATGAGAAATATGCACACAATAATATATTACACAATAATATATTAAATTTTCAAATTAATTCCTAATGTAAAGCTACTAAAACTTTCTCAGACAAAAAACTGAATTAAAATATCCAACAACAGACTTCAGCTATTAGGAGCAATCACTTCCAAGCATAGTTTAAATTGTCTTTAGAACTCTCTTACATAAATTAGACATCAAAATTCAAATACAAAATCATTTGCAATTCATTAAGTATATCTTTTAAGCCATTATTTTGAAATTTCTACTCCCAGTGTCTCTGAGGCCATACCTAAACTGGAAAATAAATCTGCATTTCCAAATAGTAAATGAACACGGACTTCTGTCTTTAAGGGAGCAAGTCCAATTGATCTTGCTATATCCACACCTGTGTTCACACACTCATAATTTTTTTTCATTTAAGCATTCTAGCACATTCATTTTACTTTTGCTCAAATTTCAGAATATATTTTAAATATTAAATCAGAGGAAAGATTAAAAATATCTTCCATACCAAAAGTCACACATGAACATTTTTATTCTAACAGATGGGGTAAACATCTTCAGGCCATGTCTGATATCCATAATGAAACACTGACTAACAGCACGACAGAGCAACCTGCTTTGCATGAAAAGGTTTCTGGCTACAAGAAAATGACTTCCAAGATATGGCAACATTCATCAAAATATGTCCTATAATTTTAGTTTAAAAAAAAGGCAACAAAAAACCCCACCACAAACAAACCA